CGTTCAGCCCGTGCTCGGCGGCCTCGCTCTCTCGTCTGCTTCTCTTTCTGCCGTTTGTTTCCCGACCCTCCTCTTCCTCCTCTCGTTAGTCTTCCTCTCCCACACTTCGACCCAGATTCTGGTTTTTCCTGAGTGCACTGCTGGGTTTGCTGTTTGACTGGGAGGTGAACTGGGGGATGAGATATGGGACTGGAGGCGCTGGATGAGTGTCAGTGATGCAGCTTATCGGGGCAGAGACGGGAAACTGCAGCTTTCCTGCTCTTTGTTTATTTTGCAGTGTGGATGTTGGACTCGTGTTTAGCCGGCTGCTCATCTCGTTCATGGCTCATTTTTGGAGGATTGTTAGTGAAAGAGTCAAATGTGCTCAGTTCTCAGTCTTGTGTTTCACTGCTGCTGTGGACGATGGAGATCAATGAGCTCCTTTTTCTTCTTCCACAGAATCAAAACTAAAGTCACGCGTGTTTGCAGTCCATGACGCTGGGAGGTGGAGGTTACTGCAAACATGTCACAGTCCTGAGATCATGTTTGTGTTCGTAGTCAGTCGTGTTCGTCCGCTCGGTGCAAACTTCATGTTCACGTTGCTGCGTTTGAGTCCAAGACCGCGGGCTCCACTTCCCCTGTCCCGCCCTATGACTCCCGCCATGGCTGATTGGGCTGGTCCCTCAGTCCCTGCTCCAATCAGACCGCACCGTCAGTCACAGTCATTAACCGCGCACACCTGTAGTCCACTATGAGGCGTCTGCTGAACCGGATCAAGTCGGTGTTTCTGCTGTTGTCGGTGTACCTGAGGGAGTCGTTTTCTTGCTTGTGTTGTGAGCTGATGTCGTGTTTGAGTCCAGCCTGCTGTGGTCGTCTGTGACATGACAGAAACTCGGCGCTGAGGGAGGACGAGGAGACCTCGGGTCGCAGCAGAGCTCCGCCTCGACGCGTCCTCCGGGTTAAACCGTGTCAGACTCGGGTTCGAGGTCCGCTGTCAGGACTGACATGGTTTCACTGAAGCCTTCAAACACTCAGGATGGAAAAGGATTCATTTATATTTGGAGAGAAGTTGAACGTCATGTTTTAATTAAGTGGTAATTGAAGTATAACAAACACAGTGTGAGCTGAACTCAGAGTTTTATAGATGAAAGGAAAGAGAAGCCAAATAATCTCATACCTCACTGATCTTGCTCCAATAATCAGCCG